CAAAAGGAGGCAAGAATGGCCTAGTTGGAAAAGGTCGTAGCCAGCAAGTCGGACAGGTCCGCAATCTGCTCTTCAATGGGTCTCCGCCACCAATGGCTGAGGTCATCTTGCGGCACCAACCAAAACAAACAGGCGGCTCGGCGGATCGGATCAACGACCGGGCACCTGACTGCTGATCTGCCATCATCTGTCATCCAGGAATTACCCGAGCGAAGAAACAGGCATTGGTAATGGCCGCTCTCGGCACAGGAGGGCCACCACTCTGTATTGCGTCCAAAAGACATCCCGGCCAATACTATTGTTGAAGATCGGGTGACCTCAGATCGGGAGAAGTCCACTGGTGTGTCTTGTTTCGTTGCAATGGCAGGGAATCATTCGAGTTGCAACACTATGCATGGATGGGTATGAATGCAGGCATTCGTGTATGGATCCTGACCATGCTGACCATGCCACATGTTGATCAAATTTGCAGGTCGCTTCTCTTTTCTGCCGGCACTCGAAGTAGCAAGGGAGCTAACAAAGCTCCACGATCCTCGATGCTATTGGCAAGTCTGGCTTGCCATCCCCTGTATTCCTGCCCCCAGGAATGGTCACCGAGTTGCTGAATTCGTAGCCAACCCAGGAATTCGGCTGCGTCCTGTTGTGCATCAGCCTCATGTTCTCTGAATCAGGGAGTCAGCAGCGTCCGGAAAGGCTCCGAAGTGCAAAGATCCGTATCACCTGACGTATCGAGCAGCTCAAGTAGAGATAGCCTCCACTGATCCCAAAGCTCTGGATCAAACCCTTCATAGGCCAAGGTGGCCCAGAGTTGCCCCAACAATGCTGCACTTGAGGCCAAGGGGGGGGCGAAAGCTAGCGCTCCAGAATGGGAAAGTGGAGGGCAGCGAGGTAGGAAAAAACACGGCGCTCTTTTTGGAGGCAGGGGTGAAGAACCCTTTATATGTGGCTCTTTGCCCGGATCCTCCTGCGAGAGAAGAGAGAGAAGAGAGACGGAAAGACGAGAGACAGAGAGGAGAGAGAGAGAGAGAGAGGAGAGAGAGATGAGAGAGATGAGAAAGAGATGAGAGAGATGAGAGAGATGAGAGAGACAGTGAGACAGTGAGACAGTGAGAGAGTGAGAGTGAGAGTGAGCGAGTGCGGCCGCAAGATACGCAACGCTAACCGCATGCCAAAGAGCGACGACAGGACGGAGTCGAACTTGCGAAGAGGGAGGAGGGAGGGAGGGAAGATGGGAGGAAGACAAGGAGGAGGAGAGGGGGGGAGGTGGGGAGAGGGGAGGTGGGGAGAGGGGAGGGGGGGAGAGGGGGGGGGGGGGGGGGGGGGGGGGGGTCTTCGACCTGAATAATCAGGGGTTAGGATTTGCACCCGGTCGAAAGAAACCTTGCTATCGCAAGAGTAACTCCAGCTAGCTTCGCTAGCTTTCGTGATTTATATAACAGGCATTGGACGAATTGCGCAGCTTAATTCTGAGAAATTGGTGCATCAACATCGCAAACGGTGGGCGATTGCTGCAGCAAGTGGGGATCTTTGTAGGCCTGTGGGTCTCAGTCGAAGAAGGATCAACTGACAGATCCCGTTTCTGCTCAAGAGGTTGAGGATCTCGAAGAGCTGAGTCGATGCGGCGCTGCGTAGGCTGAGATCGAGGCGCCATGGGATCGTCACCTGTGAATCTTCTGGAATCTGATCTCGGCTCATTGGTTTGAGAGCGGAAAATTGTTGGGTCAAATCGCCTTGATTGGGTAGTTGGGAGAGCTGAATGGTGATCTCCTGGATTCTGTCCTGCGTCAGTGGCTACTGCTTCGTTGGACGAAGGCACTTGGCTGCTGAGTCCCATGTGAGGTAGTTCCAGGCATTCTCGGGTGTCAGAATGCTTTTCTGCCGGAGTGCGTGCACCAGGGCGTCGTCCTGGTTGTCGAACTTCAGCTTGGCCAGCCTTTGAATCAACTCCTCTATCACTTTCAAGAAGTTAACCTGGCGGAATGAGCATGTGATTCCTGTGCTCTGTGTCTGCTGGTGCCACTCCTTGGATGCCAAGATCATCGCCGGAAGTATCGATCCCTTCCCGGCCTGTAAAAACAGAAGGAAATTGAGGTCCAAGGCCATTTGATTGAGGATATCTTCCTGCCGTAAGCTCAACTTCGCCAGCATCATCAAGAGCTCTGAATACCCTTCGTACCTCGAAAAGGTGGTTGAGGAATCTGATCGGTTTTTCGATCTGCCTTTCCCAATTGCTTTGCCCTGCGATGATTCCACCTCTGTTCGTGGTCGTTTGAGGTGGGCCTGACAGGTGTCCAAGAGGTCGGCAAAGGACATATCGTCCGGTGACATATTGTCTGCCATGGTCGAATCCGGCTGGTGTCAGGACAAAATCTCTTGCCAGGGCGTGCTCGAAGTCAAGGATAGCAGTGCAAAACCAGCTGACTTGATCAAGTGGGTCGGAATCCAAATCAATCATGCTAGGATCCCACCATGAGTCTATGTTGTCTGAGGACCAGGCCCAGTAAATTGGGAGCGGCTCCACGATCCAGCGAACGATGTAGGGCGCAGTGCCCATATTCAGAGCAACCTGAGGCAGGTCAGAGAAATATATGGTCCATCTCATGACGAAGGTATACCATAAAAGGCGTCGTTCCGGACGAAAGTGGATGCATTGATCAAGTGTCACATGCACAACATGCCGCAGGGCTGTGATTGGATGCGTATCAGTACCGAGAAGGAGACCACAGGTCCAGGTCTTGTAGTGGCCCTTAGTTGGTGGAGGCGGTGCATCCTTCTCAAGGCTTGGTGGAATGTCAACAAGAATCTGCGGGCCATATTTATTAAGCATCACGAACCCAGTTGAGTAGAAGGACTGGACAGGTGTCTCTATCAAAATGATTCTTGAGTGCAAAGGCCATGGTGAAGCTGGTTTTACAATGCATGCAGCTCAAACGGCCTGGAAACATGTCAGTGCTGGGTCGAAAAGGAAACGGGCTTGTCAATTTGATGAACGGTTCGCAGGTGGCCTGCAACTGCTTTGCGGTCCATGCGCTCAAAATACAACGGGCATTCAAATTCTTGCACCGGAACAGGAATTTCGGTGGTCTTGGCTCGAAGTCTATGAGCCACTATATCATCACCGGTTGGACGTCCCCGCTTGGTAGGTGGGGGAGGGTCCACGGCAGGGAGGGTGTCATGGGCGGTCTGTTGATGTGTTTACAGGCCGTTCGAACTCAGAAAACAGGCATAACATGTGAGGCACTTATGGAGTGCCGTGCTCAAGCGAACATCATTGGTTGGATCAGTGGGTTCCCGGGGAACGATTGCTGAATCTTTAGTCCTGGCTCTTTTCTCTACCGGCTCAGGATTCGGCTCTGTGGATGGTGTCACATGGCCTAGACTTGTTGCCGATATCCAAGGTCTTTTCCAAGGTGGCATGATCGGGAAATATTCAGGGCTCATGACATGACCGGACATGGCTGATACATGACCGGATATGTTTCTGCACATCTAGACTCTTGCATTGACACATTGGGCATTGGCCTTTTCCTGAGGTTAAATTGGAGAGGCCACTCACGAAATCGTATTGTTGTCGTGCAGGTCCAACCAACTCAGGATGCGAATCTAGGTAGTGGCGGGTCATGGCTCGTGCATGGATTACCAGGTTGCAGAAGTAGTGGCTAGTTCCGAACACAAGGCTCCGTCCAGCATGAGGCCCATGAAGGATCTATGTCGGATGGGCATTCTGAGTTCCTCCCTGGCCACGATGGGCTGGACAGTGCCCTCTTTATTGATGTGGGTTCGAAGGACATATAGGGTAAGAAATTAATGTTTTCAATGTCTACAGACAATACGATTTTCGATCGTAATGGTTAAAAGACGTATTCTACAAAACATAATATCTAATCTTGTTGTTAAAAATAGTTCTTAAATATCCCTGCCTAGATAAATTATCGATGATATTCAACACAAACCAAAGAGGCCTAAAGCACCGGTGGCATCGGTAATATATATTCATTCATAACATATAATGAGTATACAGGATTAAAGATACAAACATCCGGTTACAACTCAAAAAATATATCTTTAATCCTAATAATTTCAAATTTATAAAATATTATCTTTAAATAAATCCAAATATTCAATATATATATATATCGCATAAATATCCTATAAAATAAAAATAAATATCTATATTATAATAACAAAAATAAGAATTTTTAAAGCGAATGCCGATAAAACATTTGTTCGATTCATATCCGATTATATCATTATATTTAAAACAATAAATTTATTGCTTTTAAATAAATCTATTAAATATAGATTTTTAAAGAATCTATACTAGCATCTAATAATATGTATTAATACGAATTTAACGTAATACTAACGCGCGATTAACGCATTTTTAAACAATGTTTTCACCTAACGACCTTCTAAATATATTCTAAATCAACAATTAATGCAAATCTACGGCAAACCTAACGCCCAAACTACCTAACGCCCAGCTACAAAATAAATGTATTTAGCTAGGGACCCACTACATCTATTATAATCTAATTAAACAAACAACACCATAAGCTACTTTGGACCCCTTTATCTTTTTTTTAATTATAGACTTTTGGCCGGGCTCCAAATGTCTATTTTTACAATATTCTACATAGAATCTATATTTTTCGTATCATGATATTTTTATTCGAAGGATATTTTAAGATCTCCAATATTTGGAGCCCTAAATACCTTCAAAAAATACAAAATCTGGAAAGCCTTGGGCTTTGTGCATGAAAGCAATGCTCCTGAGGTAGGATCCTGAGTCTTGCAGCGAATCATCAAATCAATTGGAATGCGAAAAAACATTTTGAAGATCCAACCTCCTTGGGCATCATCAGGCTAGTCGGAGGCTAAAGCCTATGAAAATTGGTGTCGTTGCAAAGCAGGGTTGGGCCCCTTCAACGTGTTTCTCAATTGAAGCAAGTGTATGAACCCATCCTTAACACAGCTTGCCCAACCCTGGTAGCATTGCTTCAAATCGTTCGATTTGTTCGCGCTGCTGCCTCTGCTTTCATGAACTTCTGTAACTCCTCCTTGCTCACCTTACCATCCCCATCCTCATCTGCCAGGCTCACGCATTGCTGAGCTAACACTTTAGTCACATCCAAATCACCCAGCTTGAGGGACATTGCAACCATAAGCTCGTCCACATCAAGCCTCGAGCAAGGGCACGTGGGCACGTGCTCAGGTTTGGGTTTCATTTAATAGAAAACCGATCTGAATCTGTTTAGGGGATTTGCCCTTGCTTGGGACCAGCAAACCGGCTGCTAAACGATTGGTTCCATTATTGTGTCACAAAACGAAACTCAACGCTGCACAAGCAAATGGAAGAAGCTTTCCGTTCCCGTCAGTGTCCGCTAAGTCGAAAAACTCGTCAACCTCCTCGATCTGCACTTCACCATCGCCGTCTATGTCACAAAGACTGCACCAAACCTTGTCACAGAAGTATTGTACTAACATAGGAAGAGCCGGCCGTCCAGTTTCTTCAGATGGGACATGTTCAGGATGAGCTGTGCTATACTCTTTCAGTACAGCATCGTTGTGCATCAAGAAGCTGTCAATGACTATGTCGTACATGGAGTCTGGCTCGAAGGGCTTACCAGCAACTTCTATGAGCTCCTCCGATATTGGGTCCGACTTTATGCCATCATCAAAATGGAGAGCGTGAGAGGTAGATCCAGCTGGAGCTCCAGCTCGCGGAGTTTCTGCTCCATGCCAGGGGGCTCTACTTTGGGCGACTGCCTTGGTCAAAACAGCGCCTGGAATGCGAGCCACGATCAAAGTAGATGGAAAGGGAACCTCCGCAGCAAGGTCAGCAAATCGGATCTTACCATCAGGGTAAACCTTCTCTCCACGTATGCTACCAGCATTCATCAAAGCGCCATCAGCTCCACCTACTTCTCGCAATGAGCTGGCGAGCAAGGTCGCCATGGAACACTCATGGAAACGCACCCCAACGGAGCTGAGAGGATCATCTAGAGGTGAATGGATAGCAGCCAAGGTGGCCAACTGCAGTTCGATCGCTGGCTTCTGCAAAAGCTCAATGGATTCTTGCATCGTTGGATCTGCCTCGTAAGCAACGCTCTCTACTGACGGCCCAGGCTCCAAGGGGATGAGCTCCACAGTTACCTTTGGAGGCGAGTTTTTGGGAGCCCCTTGCTCCCAAACGAGGTCGATCACAGCAACATTCTGTGCATCCTCACCGGCTTTCACAATGTGTGTGCCATTATGTTTTTCGCAAACAACATCGTGGTCATGTCCACCCAAGATTACTGGGAAGTCGTGCCCACGTGTGGTCATTTCTATGTCTTCTGGCAAGTCCTGATGAGTCAACGGGATTACACAATCGGCTTCAGGATATGCAGTGTATGCCTTTGAGACTACCTCATCGACTGCGTCCAGCACAGGCGTAATCCGGTCCGCATGACCGTTGAAGGCGTTCTTCCTGTACAACCACGAGAAACGACCTCCGCCCACGCAAAAGCCTGTCAAAATCACTGATCTGCCACCATCCAGCTTCAGCAACTGGTGTTCTGCAAGTTGTCCATCTAGTTCAGATTCCTCCAACATGGATGGCATGTTCGAGTTCAGCCAAACACCGTTGAACTCTTTGATGCGGGACACCAAGCTGCGGAAGGGAATATCGCACTCGTGGTTGCCGAAGCAAACTGCTTGTACAGGGATGGCGTTCAGGGCGGTGACCATTCCCCGTCCATGGTCGATTGAGGAAAGGAGTGAAGGTGCTACAAAGTCCCCAGCCAGCGTTGTCAGCACATTCACACCCTCACTCCTAGCATCTATACAGCTCCGTAGCACTGGCAAATTGTCTAATCTATAAACGTCGTTGATGTGGAAAATTCGAAGTCTGCACTCTGGCAGGTTTGCCTCGGCGGTCCAATTTCAATGCACGTGCAACACTCATGGAGTACCAACCAGAGTTGAAATCAAACAATGGCTAGGCATTGACTGTCTCAGTGTGTATACAGAGGTTCTGGGAGGCAGGTTTGCCAGCAAATGGCTAAGAAGAAACTGTAGAACAACCACTCCAACCTTGAAGCTACCAATCAATCTATGGCCCAGGCATTTTTCTCATCTCCACTGGAGGGCGCGTTTGGTACCACCTCCGGGTGCTTGCAAGTCTCACAAGACTCGAAAAAACATCACAAGTTTAGGTTCGCTTAACAAATGAAGAGTTGGACTTTGGCTGCAGCCACTGTTGGGAAACAAAAAAACAACGAGTATGGCAACATGTGCCAGGCGCACCGCATCTGGATCCTGCTGTACTTGCGCCCGTGAAGAAGAGCCGCAGCCCATGGCGGGTCACTTCGACGTTGGTGAAGGCGCATTGAGCTCAACCCAGCAAATGGCAAGATGTGTCTGAAACAATAAAGACATACCGTTTGGGTGAGGGATCAAAAAATGGATAGGCAAAAAGAAACTTTCGAGTTTCGGGCGATCAAAAACAATATGTATATTATATATATATATATAGTTGGGATTAATAAAAAGTTAATCCGACTTACGGTGGCATGCACAGCATTTGGTGAACCCATCGAAATGCAGAGTTCGTGGCAGGTGCAGCCCTTTGTGAACCACGAAATGCAAATTTTGCGGCAGGCGCAACGTTTTGCGCACCTTGGAGTGCAAATTTCGCAGCAGTAGCAGCATTCTGTGAAAGGGCGAAGCGCAGCTTTCGTGGCAAACGCAATGCTGTGTGAACGTGGAACTGCAGACTGCGTGACAAGTGCAGTTTTTTGCGCACCTTGAGGGTGTGGTAGGGAAAAGTAGTAGTAGTAGTAGTAGTAGTAGTAGTAGTAGTAGTCGTAGTAGCAGCAGTAGTAGCAGTAGTAGTAGTAGCACCAACAGTAGCAGTAGCAAAAGTAGTAGCAGTTGTAGTAGTAGTAGTAGTAGTAGTAGTAGTAGTGGTAGTGGTAGTGGTAGTGGTAGTGGTAGTAGTAGTCGTCGTAGTAGTAGTAGTAGAGGTAGTAGAGGTAGTAGAGGTAGTAGAGGTAGTAGAGGTAGTAG